TCATTTATTTTCACTTTTGCTCCTAAATATAAGCTTATCGTCTTCAACAATAGCAAAAAAAATGTTTTGATCAGCTTCTAAAGAAGACAGTGTGCCAGGAATTGCAGATGCAAAGATAGAATATCATTCCTCAGAAAATTTACTATACACCTGATTAAAAAAACCTAAATACATGTACATACAAATAAAAATACAAAGCCATAAACACGGCAACAGAAAAGCAGGTGAATTGCAGCTGTTACATCTCTGGAGTTGAAGATATTTATTGCTTGGCATGATATTCACATGGCCTCACTAACTTTTAGAACAGCTCTGCTCTTAACATTTGAACAATTTATTACCTAATTATTTCATTTGCCCTTTTGAAGAGTCTCTCTCCAGGACAAAAAGGGGATCCTTAGAAAGTCATGCTACCCTATTGCATTGAAAGTAAAATAACCTTTTATCAAAAGCTTTGTGACCATTTATGATACTGAATTTGTATTTTAATCATGGAGTTCAACAGGAATATAGCCAGTGGGAAGGACTTAGTTACAAATGGTGTCTTTCTCATGGCTGCTGCCCAGCCCCAAGGGATGCTCCCCTGAAGTTCTGAACCTGTAACAGGGTGGTCCCCAGGAAAGGGGGAGGTTCCCGGTTCCCTGCCCCACCCAAATGGAGGGTGGAGCTGAGCAGGGAGAGGATAAGCTGAAGAGAAGACTGAGGAAGGAAGCAGGATGGAGCCAGAAGGAGACCTGGAGGAGGCGCATGGAGCCTAGAGACACGTGAAGAAACTGCGCTTGTCTTTTGGTCCTGGACTGGGTGATACAGATGTGGGTGAGAACCGTAGGGAGGGGACAATGGCAGCTTTTATCTTGATTTTGATTTTGCTCTTTTCCTTCTGGGCTTGTCTGGTTGTTTCTGACCCTTTTCTGTGGGTCCCCACTGGAAGATGCTTTAGACTTGTGGCAGGCTTTGGGGACTTGCTCTGGGCCAATCCCATTTGGATGGAGTTTTACCCACTAGGGGACGGGTAACTTTGGGTGCTTGATTTAGAAACTAGATTCTTTGCCTTTCCTGTCTTTTTTCCTAGTTGTATTAAAGTTCCTTCCCATTAAAGTCTCATATGTTTTGTGTTGATGCCGTGGATGGCAGAACCCATTAAGAATAGGCAGGTTTGCAGGGTCTGGGCTGCCCCTCTCCCTGCCCTGTAACAAACCCTGTGATAGGAAAGGACAAAAAGACTTTTCTCCACCCCCCTCCCAGGTACCTCAAAGTGCACATAGCTGCACCTTCATCCAAACAGATGTTCCTCCAGGTGTATCTGCCTGAGGCAAAAATTCCAGGAAACAAGCATGAACTCACAGCAAAGCAATTCGCTGGAGTTCAGTGGATAATTGAGAAGCCGCTTTCAGAGTTTGAAAGATGACTTTAGATAGTCTCCACTTGATGTAAATGGCTATTTCATTAGAAGTATAATATGAAAGAAGGAAGATTATTTATTACATATTAAAGATTCTTGATATTTCAGATTGATATTTTTTAAATGTTGAAAATGTTCCTGCTGTGTTTATACTATGCATGTAGTTTGTATTAGGTTAAATCAGATGAATTGCCTTATTTGGTAAGTTAAAAATAGTTGAGTATTCCATTTTATCTGATGCAAACTGATTACTAAAATAGTTTTACAACTAGCTAAAGAGTGCAAAGTTACATTTATAACACCATTCTGATATATTTTTTCTTTTTTAAAAAATATTTTGGCATGATGCTAAACAAGATATTTTCAAGACGTGCTGATATATATATATGTATATATATATGTATATATCCACTACCTCTAAATTTGTGTTTACTTTACTAGAGCTGGTCTTAATTTTCAACTTGGATCTTCAGGCTTTGTATCTCTAGCACTAGCCAAGTAATTTAAGGTATAACCTGACATGAATTTTAGCACATCACATTAAAAAATAATATTGAACATTTAGGTTCTCTTAAAATGCAAAAACATAAAAAAACTGGTTCCCTACCTTCTCTAAAACAAAAACACTTCACTATGCAATGGCAGATAAGAGTTTTCACATGCTGGGCCTCCCTGGTGGCTCAGGCGGTTGAGTGCAGAGCTAGGAAGCTGTCCCCAGCCTCTGCAGTGCCAGTTTGATCCTGGCCGGCCAAGGAAGTGTATTTCAGTCAGTCTGCCTGTTCTGTTTCCCGCTTTGTCCCCTGTTCTTGTATAAATAAATCTTTAAACAACAAAAAAAGAGTTTTCACATGAATTATTAATGTTAATAATTAGAGAGAATCTTCAGATTGAGAATACTCTTTTGATAGGGATTTCCTTGAAAAGGTATTTAGAACATCTACCAACTTTTTCACAATTTACACCTCTATAAAAAATTTAGTGATTATAAATAGATTTGTATTCATTTATTTACTTGATTAGACAATTTTTACTTAACCTTATTATGACTTTGCCTTGATGCACAGTTATAATATACCTCTATAAAGCATTAATTAGTTGAACAGTGATTAAACACACAAAAAAATCTTTTTAAAAGACTCTTAAAGCTAATTCTGATGTAAATTTAAATTAATAAAACATGTAAACCCCAAAATTAATGAGAATGTTTATCTCGTCAATTAAATTAAGTCAGAATAACACAGATTAAGTAGTTATAATTGAAAATATTACAGATCTTCTAACAAAAGGAGTAAACTAGGCACTGGGAAGCAGAGGTAGGTAATAGCGGTGGGGAATGATTGACAAGATACTTGTCAGGAACAGCAGGGCAAAGTAGCTGTCCTTATTTCTGGAATTCTATCTCAATTGGTGGGCTATACCTGAAATTGAAACAGAAAATTCTAGTGTAACTCACGGTGGAATGACCAAATTACAAAACAGCTGGTCGTGTGGTTTATAATTTCGGAAAAGAATGCATTAGTTTCTCTTAGTGTGTAGAACAGAGTACAAAATAAGAACAAGTGCTTTTCATGGGTCAGCTGATCTGATTTACTCTCACAGAAAACTCTCAGAAATTAGGTTTTTATGCTGGGGAAAATAAGATCAATATTTAAGCTAGAAGATTTACTAGCTGCACACCATCAACCACGTCTTTTAAATATAAAAATTGTAACATATTTGTTATAGGGTCTAATTCTTTCGTGATACTTAAAATGCATTCCACTGGTGAACGTTGGCAAGAAATAGCACAAAACTTTTTCGTAGTTGAAATTAGAGATCTATCTTATTTTTTTGGCAGTTAATGTGAGACCATACAGTATAGCCGCTGTCTCAATAGTCACGAAATTAACGGCATAAAATTGCAAAAACGCTTAGCAGCCTGTTTGCTGCGGTGGGAAAATGAAAAAGGCCTTACCAGGTTTTGGAATTACAAGAAAGGTGTTGAATTGCTTTTTGGATGACTCACTTTTAATTATTTCATTTCAAATATAACTGCATTTAAGGTTTGTGGGCGTTTGGTTTCTCTTTGGAATAAAAACTTTCCAAGAGGCACGTGTTAATTACTACAGACCAGAATAGCAAGGGCCAGCCTGGGGCAAGAACCTGGAGAAAAATGTCAAAGCAGAAAAAAAGGATTTTTTTTTTTTTTAAGATCTCTTTCCCGCCTATCTGCAAAGCTAACTGCCACAGCTGCTTAGACTTTATCTCAAAGACAATAGCGCCGCTCGCCGCCTCGGGGGGGTTCAGACTGCGCGCCCTGCCCTTTGGGCTTCTCTGTCCCGCCTGTCCCCTCCCCACTCGCTCCCCTGCCCCAGAGGCGAACTGTCCCACTCTAACCCCCCGTCCCAGCTGCACCCCTGCCCCATGATTCCCTTACTCCACTAGTTCCTCTGCCCGCAAGCCTCCCAGCTCCGCCAACAACTCGTCTCCATCAATCATCTGGCCCCACTAGTCCCTCTAAATAACAGTCACTCTGCCGCACCAACGCCCAGCCAAGGAGCCAAAGACCGTGGTGATGAACCCGCAGTCTGGCCAGCGCCATTCCTGAGCCTATGGGCGAAAACCCGGGGCTGGGTCTCGAGATGCTGGATGCCTCCCAGCAACGTGCGCCCACGATGCCCAGCACACCCCGGCTCTCCGCAGGCTGGCCTGGGTCTCTCCTCCACCCGGGTGCTGGGCCTCCCTCGGGCTTGTTTGCTTGTCCTCATCGCCCCCCCCCCCACACACACTCCCACCCCCGCCAGCCTTGCTCCCTCCTCCAGGCTGCTTCAACAGCCGTTTGCTTCCTGCGGTGTCTCCTTTTTCCCCTTCCTAGCTCCATCAAAGGTGGCTCTGTTATTGAAATATGAAGCCATTTCCTCTCCAAAAACCTTGGTTACTCAAGGCGGGAATCAATGGACCTATATACTCTCCCAGGAGTTATAAATAAATGTGTATTTGTTCAGGAGGCGTTTTCCCGCGTGTCTCAGCATCATCCCCAGTGGTTATTTTAGGGGTGTGTGTGTGTGTGTGAGTGTGTTTGTCCGCGTGCACGCGCGCGCGCGCCTGTGCCCATCTGGTTTTAATCCTGGGTATGGATCTTTAAACCAACCCCACCCATCCCGTACAACTCTTGCATTCCTCACTCTATAAATAAATCCAGGTTCTTTGAGCGTTGTCTTCCAGGGATACAATAACAATTGTTTGTTAATAGGGATTCAAATCCATTATCGATACTGAGTCCAGCAAACTAGAAAATATACGTTTGGCAATTTGTGTGGAAGGACACTGACAGTTTTGAAGTTTTATCTGATGTTCTCATAATTGCCGCTCTACCTGGATCTTCTGGATCTACTCTGGGGAGAGTATGGCGGGAAAGCGAGCACCTCTCCTACCCTTGGAGTTTGCCTTTGAAGAAGAGGCTAAAACACAAAGCGAAAATTCATTGCCCAGGAGATTCTGCCTCACACTGCTGTCCCAGAATTTATTCCACAGTTTCCTTGTCCCATCCCCTCTGGATAGACTCGGGAGGGGTGTGGGTGGGGGCTTGTGGTTGCATCGGACGCACTCCCTGAACCCCGAGCGGGATACTGGGGTCTGAGCAGAGGGGAAAGTCATCTAAGAGACTGCTGTTTCCCGAGGTCTGGGCACAGGGCTGCCCCTCCCTTCCTCCCGAAGTTTGCCTGAAGTGCATGTTAGGCTGTAATTAGGGAATCTGGGAGGAGAACTTTTCCTGGTGACGCTCAGCTTTTCTTCTGCTCTTGGTGAGAAGTGCCTCCTTCTTCCCAGGATCAGGACCTCTGCCATCCAGCGCCACAAAGAGGCATTCTGCACACACACACTCACACACGCACACACACACTCGCCCAGAGACAAACTTAAGGTGAGGGGAAACAGCGTTAGCTTCACTTGATCTCCAGGCTCCCACTCCAGCAGGACTTGAGAGCATCTGAGCGTGTGGATTTCAGGACATTCAGGACAAGGTAAAACTTCCACAACTTTTTCCTCTTTCAGTCAAATCTTGGTGCCCTTAAGATTTCAAAGAACAGTACCTATCATGATAGATGCACACATTAAAACGAATTTCCTAATTATTTTCTTTTGCATTTAACGTATCTCAACTTTTTATTATGATGATTTATATTGTCAGATAAAATATTGTGCTGCAATAGACAAGCTCAGTCTAGAATTGGGGCAAGGATTAACTCTAGTATCCCAACTTGGGCTACTGCTACTATAAATCCAAGTGGTGATTTTTCCATCTTTATTTCAACAAGCATTTTTTTTATAGCACCTGAGATGAAAAAAAGACAATATAAGTTGAAGGAAGAGCTGAGGAATGGGAATGTTTATTCCAGATTCCTGTGTTTTATTTTAGGAAATAAATAGATTGCTGTGGGAAAAAAAAAAGTTACTCCAATGATAAGTAATACCTGTTAGATTATTAATCAGAGATGTTACCAATTTAGGTCCATGCTTCTCCAGTTCATTGTGAAATTCAGATTATAATACAATGTGTGTGTCATATATAGGATGATATTGATGGATAATTTTAATGTACTTTTAGTCATAATTGGTAAGATTACTTTAGAAAGTTGCTTACAGGAATTAGTTTTGTGTTTATAGACTGTTCACCTCCCTAAGCAAACCTGAACTCTTTGGAAATTAAATAAAGTTGTTTTCCTCCATTGAATGTGAATATTGTGTTCAAAATAAGATGGTTTATTAATTTGCAAATAACTTATTTTCATTTATCACTGGAAAAATACACAAAGTGGCCGGGACATTTGGGAATTTTTAGGGTGGAAAGTGTTCCTGTACATGTTCCAGCGTGATGTCATAAAATCAAACATTCTGGCTGGCTTCTTGGAAGCTAACGGTTCTTAAGAAATAAAGCCTGTGAATTAATTTCTAGGTGAAATGTAATATTTATTCATTGCAAATGTCATTTCTGGTAACCATTTCTATTTGATTATTTCAGTATACTAATTTGCTGTAATTTCATAGACATTTAAGCGACTTCAATATTTTAATGGAAACATAAAACAGAAATATTGTTCTACAAAATTTATTATAGTAGCTCTCTTTGGACAACTTTTAGTGTGTTTTTCTTTACCTTTTTATCACTTTTTAACTTTAGTTCCATTTGTTTTTACAAATAATGAAGCTTTCCCTTCTATCCAGTAAAAGAATGTATGCTGAATGTCCATTGAGCATTTAGTCTTTAGTGATTTGGGGGCTTTCTATTCTTAATAATTTAATTGTTTAAGCTAAGACAATGACTTTACATTTTGGAGTAACCTCTCACTAAATTGGAAACAGCTTAAAAATGGGAAAACTAAGGAGCTTTAGTTTTGTTTAAACCTAATTAAATGAACAAGAAAAACCAACAACCTCAAGACACCACTGGTCCAATATGCTAAACAAGAGTATCCGATGGAACTGGGCTTTCAATGAGAAACAAGAAGGGGAATAGCATGTTCTTATAAAATGGGTCCTTTTAAGTGAGAAAGGCCCTGTCTCTCAGTGAAATGACTGACACTGTAATTTAGAAGCACTGGAGACTTTCACAGAGAAGAATCAATTCATTATATCCCTAGTGGTTTTACTTCCTTTTCCTTCCTTTGGGAGCAAGTAACACATCCAGGATAAACACAGTAGGAGCATGCAGAAAGATATTTCAGATACTTCACAAGTATATGGTCCACTACACAGTTATGTCTTTTTGAATCTTGAATGTCGAATATTGGTAATTTCTGAGAAGTTGAACATGTCTTCTGAATTTTAAGGGAGCACAGCGCTTTTTCACTGTAAAGATAAACAAGTCATATCAGAAAATAACTGCTTTTCCAGAAAATTCTAGTGCTAGTATTCATTTCCTTTTGCCCCATACATGTTTTACTTTCCAGATTATATTTTGAAGACAATGGCATTCCACTAATTAAAATTCCAAAGAAATGCCAAGTAACATTAAAAATGACTTTTAAATTATATATATCAATTTCTATAATCTCTAGTTAATTTTTCAATAGCCTGTGTTCATTAATAGTAACTATAGTACTTAGTCTATATAATTTAAATGTACTTAGTTTGTTATTTAAAAGTAGCAAATGTTGGGTGGGGGAAAATGGGGAGGGATGGAAACCTGAATATGCTTAGGATTTTAATCAATAGTGTTTAAGGCGGATTAGAGGAAACAGCTGGTTAAACAAATATTAGTTGTAGAGTGGACGAGATGGTATAAATTAATAATGCAGCTCTTTATTTACACCATGAATGGGAAGGTCTGTGACGGTACAATGTGTGAAGCATGGTCCCTGTGTGCCACCTAGTGGATGAGTCAAGGAAGGCTTTCTCACCAGCTTTTTAATTAAACATTTTGACTTGTATTCAATTGATATGCCAGACGTTGGGTTAGGTGCTCACAGTAGAATATACAGCAAGTGACTTTTATATAATTTAAAAATCAAGGCACCACTTAACAGTTGATTAATTTCCCAGTGGTTGAATTTAAAATCAGTTTACTCTATCGGTGTTATACCATCAACTTTCTGCCTCCAGAAGGCTATAATCTAATAACGGTAACTCACTTCTAATATATAATTTGTTTTTACAGAGATGTCGTGATCTATTCCAACAAAGGAAGGGAAAGAGTTTGAATCTTGAATCACTGTTTCTCAAATAGAAATAAAATTCTGTAAAGTTTATTGTTACAGAGCTTAAATGGGTAAATAATGGTTAGCTTAAAAGATTAGCATGTAGATTTGCTTATATTATTACATTTCTTTAGATATGTTTAATCAAATGTAAAGGAGAGTAGTAAAAAATGCTTTCTGCTCTAAAACTGCTCTCAAACGTGAATAATTAGCATATAGAACAAGTTTATCTATACCTATTTTTTATATGTAGTTTTGAAACAAGAAATTTGCTTCTGTTACAGGGCAATGCGGAGTTTCTTCAGGTCATCTTTTCCGCCCAATACTTCCATTAAATTTGACACTGTAGAATCAAACCATAGGCAGGAACAGTTGCAAGGAAAACTACTGTTTGAATGGAGTATCAGGAAATCAGTCCATTTCAATACGGCACTGAGAGTTGAAAAACTTCTCTTTAGGAGATATATAAATTATTACTCCAATTGGCACTTGGCAAGATATATGACTTAATGGCAACAGTGTTGAACACATCAGCATTAATCTGAAATTCAGATTGGAAAGAAAAATGCCCCTGTAGGAAAAAAAAAAATGATTAATGTTAACTTGCTGAGCTCAAGAGGTGGAATCCACAGATCAAGTTAGACCTGCTGGTATGGAATGGAAATTTTCTTTTTTTTTTTTTTTTTTTTTTTTCAGAATTTTGGGGTTTGTGTGTAGCAGTTAGACCTACATGGTAGGAGGAGAGATGCTTTTTAAGTCTTTTTTCATTAATGTCACAAAATTATAGCCTGAATTGATAGGAGGTGATGACAAGAATCCTTAATCAACAGTTCTCTAAAATTAAAGCATATTATTTAATTCTGATTTCCAATAAGTCATTATCCACTCCGTAAGGAGCCATTCTGTTAACAATTTCCTCTGACGAGCCTTGCGATTTAGATGAATCACAGACTCATTCTAGTGAGAGAACTGCTGAGAGATTGCCTAAAAGTCAGAGGCCCGGAAACAAGAAATTTAGTCATGGATTGGAAAACCATTATAAGAACTTTTAATAATTTCTGATTACTTAATGATACTAAATAAAAACACACTCTGCAAAGAGAACCAACCAAACTCTTGGAAATAGTCCAAGGCTACTGGGTTCCTGGTTATATTCCGGTAGCTCCACATAATGCTTCTCCAGAGAGGAGACATGGGAGTATCTTGCTGGTGTTGAAGGGTTTTTAGTTATATTCAGATAAAATGAGGATTCATCAAATCTCAAAATATCAAATGATGTTGGATGTTATGAGCTTTTATTCATTGTTGTTAGATTATCAGGGCATGGTGATTAATGAGATGGGAGCATTAATGGAAGGAGGCTATTTCAAAACAAAGCAAAATAAAAACAAAAGAGAAAAAAAATACTTGAAAAACTTAGCAAAGTTCAAAGGGTCACTTCTCAGTCTTGTAAGGCACAGAAATTTCCCTTTTTATCCAATCTAGCTTAGTCCAAAAAGAACACAACCTACTTAGTTATTAAATTCCAATTACATTTACTATGGTAAATAAAATCCAGTTAGTTAAACAATACCCAAATACCTTCTACAGTAAGTCTGATTTTCCTAAATTTTCCAATAAAATTTTATAGCTCATATCTTAGTTCAGTTTCCACCTTTACCATGTGACTTTTTCTTATTTTGAGTATTTTGAATTTGGGGAATTCAAAGGCCTTATTTCGGCATTTGTGTTTTCATATATTAGTTCTACAAAAATTTATTGAATACTTGCTTCCTTCAGGCTTTGTTCTAATGCCCTTTGCTGGGTCCCTTATTTTATACCATGAAAATTCATTCTAAAATATCAGAAAGTCAAAATTGATGATAAAACTTTGCAAAATCCTGCAGTACACTTTAAGTAAGAGAAACAATCAAACAAGTCTAGCCTTAAGAGATTTTGTGGTAGAATTTGAAGCATGCTCATTTAAAACCATTTCCCATTATTTGCTGCTTCCTAGCTGGGGGGTTAAGAGCTTTGTTTCTCGGTTGTGTGGGCACAGATGGGCTTGGGATGGCAACTCCAACACTCCAGAGCCCCAGGTTCCAATAATCTGTCTACTTGGATGGGCAAGAAAAGCAAAAATTCATTTGCACACAGTTGCTGTCCACCAGTTTGCAACTAAAAATTACAGACAGCACAAATGATTTCACGCTGACCATTTGCAACAGGCACCATGCTAGGTGTTGTAGAGTAATCGCTCAAGGAATTCACAAGTTAGTGGAGGTGACAGATGGATGCACATCATGAGTCACTAGTAAAATTTGCCAAGTAGGTGAAGCTTGCCTTCC